ACACACAGACAGCCTCTTCCCAATATGCGTTTTTGCAATTTACATAAATGCAAAAACGCATAACAATATGCGTTTTTGCAATTTACATAAATGCAAAAACGCATAATTAAACATCAAAAAAGACGTGAAAAAATTAAAAAAATAAATCTTCCATATTCTCATAAGTTGGAGGAAGGTAGATCTGGTACGGTCCCGCTGGGTATGTTCGACGAGGTAGTGATAATAAATTCCATGGGTTTTTACTGCGGAACCATTTTTGTGTTGTTTTTTCATAATGCTAGATGAGGTGGCAGTAGCCCTGGAAATTCACCTACTCCATACTCCATTCCAGCTTTTGTATCGGGCAGGAAATGTCGGCTCTTCATACTTCGTATCAACCTTTCAGTAGAAACTCCGCGACAGCTTAGCTGGAAACTCTGCTGTCGCTCAGTTCCGACTCCCATGCTGTAGCAGTTCCATCTTTTCTTCAAGCGAAAGGCATTGCGATTTTGTTTTTAAAGCATTATTTTTCTATCACAGAAGCTGAAATGTGAAAAGAGTTTTGTGTTGTGGCTTGATAATTATTTTTTGCTGAAGCAATTTATGAAATTGCATGTTTGCAATTAGCTATTGAATTTGAACTTTCCATACTGTGTTGTTATAGAAATTCATTATTAACCTTAAAATTTTGTAAAGTGCAATTTTAAAGTATTAAGCATAATTTTAAAACAGTAAGCAGGGCTTCAAAATTGGTTCAGTTCTTTTAATTAGATGCACCAAATTCGGTTTAGCATCTGCCATGCAAAACAAAACGAATATTATGCAAAGCCAGAAGAAACATCGCATTTTTTGAGTCTTTGCACAACTCATGCAATGTGGAAAAACATACTATCAAGAGGCTATGTATGTATATATGCATATATTTTTGAGCACAATTTTTTCGATTTACATGGGTCTTCCAGAATCCAAACTTCATGTCGCATAGATTTCACGAACCGGATACCTGAGCAACGGCATGAAATTTTAGCGAAACAACCACTTCCGAAGCCAGAAAAAAGAGGTGTAAAAATTACGCCTTTGTGTAAACTGAAGGTTTCTAATTCAACTACCACATGCACACAAACTGCGCGTACAAGCAAGTCAAAATTGAAGTCGACACACTGTCGGCACAAACCGTCTCGGAGGCCATACTTAATAGAAAGCGCTAATTTTTCGAGGGTTTTTATGACCTATTTGCCAGGACGTAGGCCTTAAACGAGCATTTGGTACAGCTGTGTTTCTCGCTTTGATACTTCAAAAATATGTATACCAAAGAGCGATGATTTATCAGGAGATCAATGCTTTTTAGGACGGAACCGATGCAAGCTGTGTCTCTGCTAATGCTCAGCATTGATCGATTTCTTGCATTATGTGTACCGATTTTATATTATCGAAAACATTTGACTATTGAAATTTCTGAGGTTTGCCCGTTTTCGTGCATTTTTTAATGCGTTTTGTGCTGTGCAACAGCCGTACAAAATGCATACTGTCACGGAGTTCCTGTGCGTGAGTGTTTGCGTGTAGTTTGTGTGCGCCCGATGCGTCTTATCCGCAACTTTCAGCTCGGCAACCACAAAAGCCAGGAAGCTGAAAATTTAGGGGAATGTTTCCTGCCCATGTGTGACCAAACAAATTTAAATTCAGCCTACCTGTGGGTAACACGTGGTCCCGTGAAGTTTTAGGCGAGGAGAAATTATTTCGGGAACTGGGGAAGCTTGTAAGCTGAAATTTTGTGGGTATGTCCCCCGTCTACGTACGAGCTCCAATCTCAAATTCAACGATCTCATGTCAGCTACAGCCTCATCAAAATTCTGGCGGGGAAATTATTACCTCGAGAACTACAATAGCCAGGGAGCTGAAACTTACGGCAGGTTCTCCTGCCCACATACAATTCTGCAAATTTAGATTCAGTCTTCACGCGCTTCTGGTACCACGGACAGCTCCGCGAAAGTTTTGACAGCGCAAAAACTAGGAAGATGAAGTTTTACGGTAGCGTCCCTTACTACGTACGATCCCGTAAATTCAAATTTAGTTCTCACGTGCGTCCGGGACTCAACGTCCCCGTGGAAGTTTGGGCGGGAAAAATCATTATCTCGAGGGCCAGAAGAGTCAGGAGGCTGAAAATTTCAGGGTATTGTTTTCTGCCTAGCAGAGACTTCACAAACTCATATTCACTTCCTAGGTATGCTGAGGTCTCAAGTACGAAAATTCTGGGGCAAAAACCACTTGAAAGCCAGAAAATTAGAAGGTTGAAATTTTGGAAGGATGTTCATCTCCAAGATTTCAAATTCAGCTTTCACATGCCGGTGTGTGAAATTTTTAGTCGGAAATTCAGCAACAATATGTAAAACATCGAAAACCCTTAGCAGCTAATGTTCGTTGAGCCGAGCTGCGCAAAACGCGTGATCGCACTATTTATTCATGTAGTATATGAACTGCGATGTGCACTAGAAAGAGCTACGCCGTTCAGGACTAAAGAGCCTTATGCAGCTGCACTCGGCATATAAAAAATATCATCAGCATGAAATCCCACAATGGCTGTTTAGATCTGCATATTTTTGTTATAGAACGAGGATTTCTAGACGTCTGTATTATCTATTTAGCCAAAGAGTCCAGGAGCAAAAAAGCTCGGGATAATGCTGTAGTGCTTAATACATATCAGTGAAATACTGGAACGGCTAAAGCCTTATCAAAATGTTTCTTTCGGGCCAACCGCTAAGCTGGTAGTTCCTCCGGGAAAAAAACTGTAGGATCGCCATCATCAGGCTAATCATCAAGTGATGCAACATTGGTCAAAGCAACTGCAGAAGCTCCCGGCTGCAAGGCTGCACAACGACATTATAAAATGCAGCGGGTTAGCGCATAATAGTATTCTATTCTCGAACATTAAGCCGACTCCTATTTCAATGTGCTTGTTACAATATTCAAAAGTGCTCTCACTGCAACACAGCATCAAGGAATTTGTAATGAAAGTTAAAAATTTCAGATTTTTGCCTGCCTTACTGCTATTTTTATTTATACATGCACAAGTTGGTATTATTCATGGCAAGAAACTGAGTCTGAAATTTCATCCTTCTGCTGGTCTGTTAAATCGCTTTTTGTTCTCCTGTAGTTAACGATTTTCACGGGTGCAAGGTTCCTCAATGTGCTGTGGGAGCGGGGACGCTAGCAGACGAATGAAACATCGAGATCATTGCGCAATTTCTGATATGCCATTAAATAAAAAGGCAAAATTTGTGAAAAAATGAAATATCCTGTTGCAGTATTCGAACCAGCAGTTCACTCTTGAGGGTAAATGTCATCTACTAAGAATATCAAAATCTTTAGATTAACCCGTGTGTGTATCCCATATTAGTGATGTTGCTGTAATGCCTCCTCACTCCAAGTGTAATTGTGCCAGGCCCGTATTGCATATTTTTTGTTCACCATGCATTTTCAAATATACCGAACCTTGAAAAGGAAGAAAAAGAAAATGTTTTTTTCGCAGTCTTTGTTAGATAAGAGAATGCTCATTTCTTCAAAAAAAAAACAAGGAAATTATAATTTGTTCCCAAAATGCTGCTCCAATCCTTGGAAAAACTCTTTTTTTCTAGGACTGGTGAAAGTCAGGTACCATTTTTTGAAAAATGCGCACTGTTAATAGTGATTTGCGCATCTATTGCAAGTGTATTGCTTTATATCGTCGTGTACAAGAAGGCGCGGGATTTTCGAAAATCGATCAGATTTCATTCTGTTAGTTATTTCACCTTTTTGCATTCCGAAAACTCGTCACAGCACTCGCAGAGCAGTAAATGAATACGTGAGCGTGCAAGAAAACGGTGGCGGCTCGCGCCAAATAGGCGTTTGTGCCAAGTGGAAAGAACTATGAAACCTAAAATAGAAAGGCCTAATAAAGTTACTGTCGGGACACGAAGGCATCTTTTGTGAATGGATCGGCAAGGAACTGAACATCTCTCTTTACACCCAGATACGGCTTGTCATCTACTACACTACCGGCTTTATGTATCCCAATTTCAATCTGAGCGTGTTTCTACAGTATATCTGCCTTTTCAAGTGTCTGCCTAAAGGCAATGCATTCTTTTCTGTGTTTTTTTTGGGCAGCATGTGGATTTGTTAAGGCATCTTTTTCGCTAGTTCCTTTCTACTTCCCCGACACAGTTGCGCTCGGTCTATAGGAGTATCTCAGTAACATTATTAAAATTGAGCATCGCCACCAACTTCTTGATTTGTTTTAATTGTTTTGGCATTTGCAGCAAATTTTTTAGTACACTTTTTCCGCCATAAGGTTCTCCACATTTTTGCATGTAAGGTTTTGTGACGTGCACTGGCCCGGTTTTGTTTGGAATTATGCTTAAACCCTCCGCTTTATATAAAGGACCTTTTCCTTAGCCTGCTTTTCCACGTACTGCCTTATAATTTGTCGTAAAAAACGCAACAAAATTTGATGCACGCGGCGGCGTCATTCCTTTACACCGAGCAGAGTCACTGGATATACTAAATTTTAAATGAATACAAGGAATAATGCCAATGAGTGCAAGAATCGGCTTTAAAGACTGCATGGAATTATGCAGATAAGAGATACGCAAAATAAAGAAGAATGAAGAAGCTGTCAACTGGATCAGTGGCAAGAAAAAAAGTCGATAACGCTGCTCAAGGCATTCGTTAAGGTAAAGTGAACTAAATACTGGCAAAACTATGTTTATAGTATTTATTTGCAGCATGCTCAAGCGACAGCTGCAGCATTTGAACGTCGGCAGCTGAGGTTGACCAGAACGATGTGTGTTTCGTGCGTGCTTACAACGATTCTCTACGTTATTCCAGTATGCATGCGTTTCATTCAGCGCAGCATTGGTGCGGATCAGTTCAATGAGTTCATGACAGTTTACACACCGATAAGCTGCAATCTGAATCCTGTAGCCGTGATCACAACGATATGTGTGATGCAGGACGATATTCGGCAAGCTGTCTTCTCGTCACTTCCAAATCGTCTCCAGCTGTTGCTCCAGAGTACTATGGTTGCAAGAGCAACCATTTCCATTTCCGTTTATCCGCAATTTCATCCGACAGTAATTTACAAATGCAATAAGCCTAGCAATATGTGAAAAAAGAACCTTGTAAATATCGTGGTATTCTCTTTTTTTTTGCAAAATTTCTTCCCTGGACTTTTCGACATAACCACAGTGAAAGGGCAAGCACAAGAAAGCTAGTGCGCATGGTACAGCGGCCCATGCTAATAGAAGATTCGATCTCACCGGTGAGAAAACTAGTCTCTTTAAGATTCGTTTATTTGTTCGATGAAAACTGATACAGGCATTTACCAAAGTGTCAAACTCGCCATAAGCTTGCTTGTAAGCAACCCTGGTGTTATTACTGGAGTTACCCCGAGTGGTTTCACCGCTCATAAGGACTTTGATATATAATCTGTTCGCGATGGCTAGTACCTGAGCCAAGCTAGGGACAGACTTCTTCAGATGCTTCAGTGGAAATTCCAGCCTATCTCTTCTGGACAGTTGCTTCGCACTAACATTATGGATGTAAAATCACACAGAGCCTTCTAGAAAGGTAAATCCTGGGAGAAGGACAATCAACAGACGGTTATTTTGGCAAAGCGGTGTTGCTCGGACAACTTTTAAAGGATTCTGTTTTCCATAATGAGGAAAGAAGAGGGCGCGAGCAAAGGGGGAAGGTGTCGGGCAGAATCGAGAAGTGTGGAGGGGAAGGTTGATACGTAAAGCATATTAATTTAGTTTGTTTTTGTTTGTGCAATAAAATCATTTCATATGATGCCAAGTTTCTCTCCTTCAACACAGTAATCAAACAAGTGCAGCAGAAACAAACCATTGCTAGTCCAGCTACCTTAGATGGCACAGCGATGCTTAATTCAAAGAAGAAACAAACAAATGCATTATGTAATCCGCTCATGATCAATATTAGCTTTTATTATATAAGAGTGAAAACAAAAGGGATACATGGTTGGAATATTAGCTCAGCAAAAGTGATTTTTATTTATGTATTTTTCGAGTCTTACATGTGCTTATCCTGTCGGGAGCTATGTGGATTTGTTTGAACGGGCACATAGAATTATGTGGATGAGAAAGGCGCAAAACAAAGAACTGTGAAATTGTCAGCCATGCCAATGGTGAGAGTTATTAGGGCGAATCCTAAAATATTTGAATTTTATAATTTAGTAAAATAAGAAACTTTCAAAAAAT